TGTTTTTTTTGTCAAATTTTACATATAAATTTGGGTGAGTCAACTCATTTGATTTATATGTAACAACATTTTGAACCTCTGTAAAGGAACATGTCCTGTGTCTGATATATTTTGACTAGGTAAAAAATTTTATACTTAATTCAAAATCTGTATACCAATCAGAGAAAATCATTAGTGTCATGCAGGGAGAAATTTTACAAATCATTAAGAAAAATCTAGTAATCGGTCTTTTTTGATGATTATGTAACATTAAAAAAAATGCAGGTTTTTTATAATATTATAATACATGAATCTTGACACAATATTAAAAAATCTCTTTTATAGATCATACATAATACTTTATTAATACTTTCACTAGTTTATTGAGCTCCAAAGCTAGATTCTTAATGAAAAACTGTATACAAGATTGCAATTTCAGAATATTAAACTCTTAAGTTTCTTCCTTTTAACTAGTTTACTTTTTTTATTGTGGCTTCTTGCCTATGTTCTCATGTATAACAACTGATCCAATTTTGAATTGTGCTAACCTTCGGTACCTCTTCTATTTTAATTTTACCTTCTTTTGCACATTGAACAAGTTCATTATATTCTTTGCTATATATCTATCACTTTTATCTATATTACCCACTAAAAAATACCTCTTTAATAATAGCTTTATTTCCGGTAATATTCTTTTTTCTACATCTTTTTTCCCAAACTTTTGATTTATTTTAAGAGCCTAGCCTAAATTCAAAGAAAACTTGTTTGCTTCAAAAGTATAATTATTTTCTTTAAATAATGCATTATTTATTTCATTATGAACTATAAATAACCATAATCAAACTATTATCAATTGATTAGCACTCAAAAGTTATACTAACAGTAATATGTACCTATCCTTACATTCTTTACATCTTCCGCCAATTGATTTTCTAATAGAGTTATCAATTGTTCCTTAGTTTCTTTATTGTCAAATCTAATATTTCATTTTTCTAATTCTTTTACCAGATTTTCCCTTGTAAGATGACTTGGAATAAGACCTTGATGATATTAAAAACCTGGTTATTATTGAATAAATAGGTTAAATAATAATATATATGAGATGAATTCAGCATTAGTATTTCTCATTCTGATAGTGGTATGGTATATGCTAATACTTGTGGTATAGGCCTATTAATATCTTTCTTGCAAAGTTTATCTAATTCTGCTATGGTAAAAATTTTCCATTCACCCATACCAAGAATGTTTCATGCTTTAATACATCCAACCAATTCATCTATTGTAGGCTATTGCCATTCAAACCAATTGAAATTTCTCGGTAGTGTATTACTGCCATTACCTGTATTTAATCTGAAGTTAATATAAACTTCCTGTTAATGATTTACAAAATCAGTTATATTATCTCTATTCCGATTAGAACTCAAATTTGCAACAGAAGTCCCTTTAATTTCTTTAATTGCATTCTCAATATCCTGTCCTGCTGTTACATCAAAGCCTAACTGAATATATCAATTGATTGCGTATGATATCTAATCAATTATAATAAGTATCAATATATGAATTTGAGATACAGTAGAAACTATTATGCTTATGTTGTAACTAGCTAAAGCTTTTGTTATAACTAGTTATAGTATAAGCCATAATAGTTTCTACTGCAATTCTAGTACAGTCAACTCATTCTATAACAAATTAACATCTCTGAAAGAAAAAAAGTTTGTTATAAAATCACTATATGGGGTCTTTGTCTTGAAAATGACCTTACGGTATTATGTACTATAAGGTAATTTTCAAGGCAAAGACTTCATATTCTCTTAAGGGCATATGAAACTCTCTATACCAAACTATTATGAAATTTTAAAAATTTGAATTCTTTATATTCAGTGTTCATTATATAGAAGTTCATTATATCTAGAGTTAACTGTATAATATGAATAAATTTGTTAGCAATTATCATACTTGTACATGATGAAAATCGATAGTAGTTTTTGCTTCTCCTGCTTTCAAAAAAACCTATTTTTACATTAATTCTGTACTATTCTGACCAATATTCTATTATTATCATTAGATCAGCGTTATGATAATGTCCACCATTATCAGACATTATTATTACTGATTCAGGTTTTGGATCTTTTATCTCAATTGCCGCATGGAGTGAAGACGCTATAAACCATAAATCTTGACATATATCTACAGACCAGTAGTCGAATACCTGGATATGTAGTTTTATCAAATTGGGCTGTGTAGTGTATACAAGAATTGAGTGGAGAAACCAACCTTTTTTTTCAAACCAATCTTGTTTAGTTTTTTATACTGTTTTAGGTAATATTTTCATCTTGTAATCTACCAATATCAAAGCAGTTTTTTCATCCAAACTTAACAAATTTGCATTAAATTGTACATTTAAATATATCTTCTTGTTTGATGAGCTAAATAATAGAGCAAGTGATCATACAAGTCCTCTAGTTCCTCATGAATTGAATTGCTAATATTATTGCATAATGTATTAAAAAATTAAAAAAAATGTAACATTTATTACAAGTTCTAGTATGAGGTTTATAGCATTGTCCAAATGCATATAAAAGACAATGATTAATACAAGTGTTATGAAAGGTTATTCCTTGCAAAGTATAGGCCGTATCATCACTTTTGATACATCACATTTTATAAAATAAATTAAAAAGTTTATTAATAATATTAAATCTAATAAATGTCATTTTAAACTATACTTTTAGGATTATATATACTATAATATTAAGTTCTAAAAACAAATTTATTATATATTA